GATATATATATATTATCATATTTAACTGCAAAATGGACACCTTTTAAAAAAATGTACACAGAGCTAGACACATTTACATTTTGGTAAAACAAAATAGATCCCTAAATATCATACAGAATATAAAACTTCTTGAAACTTTGAATGATCACATGCAGGTTAGGACAGGAAGTGGATTCCAGCAACAAAAATGTTCAATTTCGACATTATTGTTCAACGACAGCTGAAGATGCTTGAGAATCCAGATATTTTCATCTCTTCTGTGCTCTAAAAACGCACAGCTAAGGAAAAAAAACATCATCTGGGGTTTTTTGTTGTTGTTTTTTTAAAAGAATGTTCATACATTTTATATAATGACAATTACTCAATAAAGGCTCCTATATGTAGTGCACAGTTTGATCGGATTCATCACCAATTTTCCCCTGTGAGAATTGCAGTCAGTTACTTTCAGCATTTCTATTTAGTGCTAGCATTCACAGATTAGTAAAAATTATCGGTGCATTATTCCAGCAAGAGAAGAGAAATCCTGGCCTTCGTGTGATTTTTTGTAAAAATTAAAGACAGTATTCTTGCCTATAATGTTAAAGAGGGAAACGACTAAATAGCTTTATTTAAAAAACAAAACAAAAAACCCCCACCTGAAATACTTTTTATTTAAATGGAAGAATTTAATTTCATCTACCAGGTTATTTTAATAATGTAAGCAAACAGAAATGCTCTTTTTAATAAAGATGTTTATGTAAGAAAATATAATTATGAGGAAAAAGAATTCCACACTACTTCATGACTACACACAGTCAATACAAATAGGAGAGAATGTGCATGATAAGGAGCAAGCAACTGTGTCCTCATGCAAACTTTGGTTTACACTTCAATTCAAAACAGTAAGAAACTAAAAGAAAAATCCTGGAAAAATGCATCCTATGTACACAAAGCAACTCTTTTACACGCTTGTAATAAATATATATTATTCTTCTATATATTATCATCACTTTGTCATGTGCAGTCAGAAATACATTTATTATTTCATCCATCTTGTTGAATAAGTCTCACATATGTACAGATGCACTCTGTACCTCCCTGCGCTTACGCAATGCATATTTGGCCCTTTGCCTCATTAACACAGAGCGTGGAAATCTGGGAAAACTTAGGGACAAAACAAAAACCTCTTTTAGAAAAGTGATCATGACTGAATTTAATTTTTAACAGATATACACAGAAAGAAATCAGAAAGAATTCTCCTGCTGATAGATGTAAATAAAGGCCCATAATGAGTTTGACACCACAGCACTGCCAACCTGATCCCCCTTTTTTGTTTTTTAGGTAGCTTCATACCCACACTGATCATCTATAATTTCTGTGGTGGGATGGTTACTTTTCACTTGTCTTGTTCTGCAGGTAACTGAAGAGTGCCTCTAGTCCTTTAGTTGAGCACCATAGCTGCTTCAACATCTGACATTCCTTCTCATTCACTTCCTCCAGGACGGACATGAGGATGCTCCTCACCAGGCATTTAGACTCTTCTAAGACCTTTAAAACACACAGAAAAGGGGGAAAGAGCTATTTCATCTCCATCCTTAAGAGACACCTTTGCCTTCTGCATTGTGTAGATCAACAAGACTTACCACTGCGCTACAAGATGCCATTTCCTTCACACGCAGCATCACCTCTTGGTTGAATGTGGTTGGCCAGAAGACCTGCGACACGAGCCCTCGACTGCATGCTTCTTGTGCTGTGAGTTTTCTTCCACAGAAGAGCATCTCATTGGCCTGGAATGAAGGAGAAAAAATGCTATCGGTGGAACCACATAACATTACGAGGAATTTTGCTAAAAAATAGATTTTGATGGGACCCACAAGAGCGACGCCCAGTATTTGAGGGAAGGTGTAAGAGGAGCATCCAGAAGGAGTGAGGTGCAGGGCTGCACATGGAGTTTGGAACCAGGCCCTTTCACTGGCCCACACCACATCGCACAGTGGCAGGATGGATGCTCCCAAGCCCAGAGCAGGGCCGTTTATTGCCACCACAATGGGTTTCTTGAAGTGGATGAATGCCAACACAAAGTCCCTACAGGGGTCACAGAATGATCAGCAGTGACTCTATCAAGACTAATGGTAACACACAAAAGAGTTGCTGCCTGTAGTGGAGTGATTTCTTCTTACCGTACAGCATCTGCGATGCGGCTGCTCTCTTTTCTGCGGTCAGTGGACAGACGCCCTATCAGATACGATGGCTCCAGGCCACTGCAGAAAACAGTCCCCACTGAACTGAGCAGTAGTAATTTACTGTCATCCGCAGCGGCATTACCCAAAGCTCGACAAACTTCCTTCATGATCTGAAGAGAAAGAAGAACAAATGTGTATTACATTCTTAACCAACAAAAGAGGACTGGTTGAGAAGGAAAAAGCTTAAATATAGGTTCTGAATCCTCAGAGTAAAACAAAGATCCACTAGGTACATCATTATTTTTTATTGCAATGCCCAGAGCAGAGAAAAGAAAAAAAGACCAGCACTGGGACTACAAGACTTCCTTCTGTATCCTTGCAGTTAACAGAGACTGAAAACTGTGTAGCACATCACAGCATCTAACAAAATTTCACTTTGAAGGAACAAGCTTGAAATATTCAGTTTAAACATGCTAATGCTAAATATATATATATATA